TCAGGACAGAAGGTTCAAAGCATTACACCAACACTTTCCACGATTACATAAATACTATGAAGCAAAATGAAACAAACTTACATTTTCATCAATAGCCTCAAAAAGGTCTATTTCATTCTCATATTTGAGGTTGTCATTTCCTCCAATACAACTGTGAGGAGAAAAATAAGAACAATTTTCCATGCTGTCGAAGTGAAAAACAACATTATGACTTTCAGAGCAATGTTGTGCTTAACGTACCTGAAACTACACTTTGTTTTATCGAAACTGACTTTAACATCTTTGCTGTCTTTTACTAAGAACTCGATATAAACTGAGTCCCTTCTGTCGTACCACTTGGCAGATGCTGGATGCCTGTGAAGACAAAAGATGCAAACAGATCAACAAATGAATGCTACATGCTACGAGCCCTTCATTTCCACAACAACTACAACCACAGATACAATACATACTGCCATAGGTCTTTGGAGACCAAAGCCTGCCATCTGTACACCCATGTCTCAGGTTGCCATAGAGCGTCCAGTTACACCGGGTCACATTAAACCCGCTTTACCAATTACCTCTTTTGGTGAAACCCTTTTTATTAAGTACTAAAATTTTGTGTAGCATTTTAAGCAACAATCACACATAAAAAAGACAAAGATTATTCCTACAGGACTTAAAAGAAGGTTTAACTTAAAGGCTACTTGACTTTATACACTTTAACATATAATCATATAACTACCACCATATAGATTTTAAAACATATTAGGAAATGTTTCCATTACTCTGCAGCGTATTCTTCCCGGTGTATTATTACAGTTGGCATAGTCAGTGGCGTACGACTGCCGTTTGTGTCTCTTCTGTCTTATTGTTACACAGCCTCTGTGTTGTCTTGGTTTGTTCTTTCTGGCAGCAGCTGGGATCAATGTTGTATGATCTTTCCTGGATAACTGTCCTACTGTGTATTTTTTTTTATCTCCCACAACTACATTAATACCTAGTATTTTTCCATCTGCTCTCCAGTCTTTGAATCTCTAAGTTAGTGATGCTTCCTATTGTTTTTGTTGCCATATCACTTAAAAGGCACAGACATAAACAGGAACAGGACAATCAAAGTTGTAAATGGAACAAACGGATCCAATCATCAAAGTACAAATGTTGGTAAATAAGGCTGAGGTTTAATCACGTTTGCTTCTACTGTCGTTGAATTACTAACCGTCAGTAGGATTTTTTTTTCAGGAACGCCCAAATTATCATACTGAACATAATGCACTAAAATTGTTTATGGTCAATATCTGTGTATTATGTTGGCATTATTTTTATGTAACCAATTCAACCGTATTTGCATTAGCACAAAATCTTAACAGCGTCATTGTAATGGCCTCGTATTCCAAATCCTCTTAGTGGCCAATGCAAGCCATGGATTGGATTAATTTTTTATTTTTAAACGCTGCGATCATGAAACTTTTTATTTTAACCACACTAAATTGTCTTTACATGCCGATATCGTGGCACCTGACAGAGCTGGAGGCGGTTTTCTGATCAATGAACACTCCGCTAGTTGAGCTAACGACGTCGACTTTAGCCGCTACCGTACTTCAGCCATGCGGTGCACCTGACTCAAAGAAGGGTTTAGATGCTTCTAGAACGTTAGAAAGCAATTCGGGCACAGGGAGTGCGGTGCCGTAGTCTTTATCCCTATGAAATAAGTGCTGAGTTACCGTTAGCTCACAGTGGGCTGAGGACAGGCCACCTCCCGCCTTTGCCAAAGCATGTTCTCAAGCGGCTAACGTTAGCTAGTTTACAGAGCGAGATATTCCCTTGCACTTTCGCTCCCATTACAGTCACCACGTTAACTTTCCCATAACTTACATGTCTAGTCCTGGGTGTGAGGTTCTATCTCGAAGACGACGCAGTCCCGTGAAATGAAACGATTGTTATTTTAAAAATTGAGGGTAACAGTGCCCAAAGTTGTGCGATACGACCACACAGATATACACAGAGCCAAGACAAGTGAACTAAAATACTACGGATCTTCTGGCGTACTGCCGGATGAGAATGGCGGCGCTGACGCAGCTAGAACGTACTGGACGCTTCGAGAGCTTTTAGCCACATCTGCTAGTGATGTGAAAGGAGGCAACGCGAGGAGTGGTCACCTCACCTCCCACAAATATAGCTATGATCCAATGGTGATTAAAATTCACAGTTTACGCGCATTTACGACTATATAGAGTAGACGTGGTTCGTCAGCTGTTCTATATTAATTGTGTTAGTAAATGCCCTAACGGTCGTTTAGGTATCATTATTAGTTTGTAGTCTTTATAGCATTTTTCTCAGTTTGGGCTTAATTCTTAACTCAGTTATACTGACATTTAATACTATTCAGAGTATTTTACTAAAGGTTTTATACATAACAAAAATGGACACGCCTAAAATTCATAGCTTTCTTGATCCTTAGTTATTTGTTTAACGTTTTGCTTAATGCCGCAGTCAGCTATAAGCTATCAGCAAATCTCGATGTATTTGTGCACAGTGGTATGATATTTTACACTGTAATATCTTTAAAATGTTTTTACATTAGACTTGTCTTATTCCGATTTGAGTAATAAAAACTAAGATACCCACATGTACCACAAGAGGGAGCCAAAGTACCAGCGGTACACATACCATCGTTTAAGATCGTCTCTGAAGAGAAGTTCCAAAGTATGCCTCCGGTGGTTGTGAGAAAACAGCAGACAGCCCAGTACTGTTTCATATTTTCATTTTCATTTTTGTACCTCACAAACCTGCAGTTTATAGAAGTACTGCTATAACAATTCACCATTTTATGCAACTGTGTTTCACTGTTGAAATACTGAGGTCCATGCCTAACTTTGTTTAACATGGCAACAAAAATGCTAGGACTTAAAAACAGTACTCATTTATTGGGTATTTGAAGGGAACAAAGGAAGAAATCAGTTCTTAAGAAAATCTTTAAGTAGTTAAGCCATGAAATGTCTGACAAGGAGTAATGAACATAAAAGAACAAGAGAACTTTAACAATACTTTTTGTGTAAAATTATAATTGTAAAAATCTTCATCAAGTCATCCATGATTTGGTTTGGGGCAGTATTACCTCATCAGGTATCAGGTGTCCTCCAGTGGGAGACCAGTCGACTTCATATTTAATAAAAAATATTTAATATTAAACATTTTTATTTGCCTGTGTAGACACTGTAATGAGCAAACACCAACATTTCATCTTATCAAGCCACAACTTTATTTCCATCTTGGGTATAAACTTTATAAACAAGCTTACATTAAATCAAACCTAATGTGTTGACAGGGTCTCTTTACATCGTCAACTCCTGCGGAGACAAAGGAAAAGTTGTTAGTGTGATATTTAGAGGAAGATTTTTTTTTATTTTTATTATTGAGCAATTTTCTTCTCAGGACAGAAATAGTGGCTTCAGAAAATTCAGAAGAACGAAAGTCACTGTATTAATCATCACCGAAGAGTCCTACGTATATACAGAGTGCAGATAAACACGTGTTAATGCATAAGCAAAATCAAGAAGTCTTACCATAATAGCGTTGACAATGTCGTTATTGTTGTTTTTCAGAGCCCGTACAGCCTTCGCCCGTGAAACGTTGGCTTGCGACATGACGAGTTCAATATCCTTGACCTCAACACCAGTCTCGTCAACCTATGAACATAGAAATACCATTTTAACATCAAATAATGCATAAACCATTGACTGGATTCGAATCAAACTGTCCAAATCTCCCACCTCCTCTTCTTCGCTTTCCTCCTGTACTGTTGGCGTCTGTGCGTTTTCTTGGATGTTTGATACGGCTTCTCCCTGTACTTTGAATTTTTCTGCAGCAGCCAGCTGAGCTTGCTGTGAAAGATCTTCAATCTAGGTTGGAAAAAAACAGCAAAGCCAACGTTACAGTAACATTCAGATCCATTTCAAGTACAACGACATAAAGTGTTAGGAGTTCTTCTCCGAGATCAACCGATATTGTTCGTAACGCACCTTAGCTTCACCGAAGACGATGTATGTGTCTGATGCAGGGCTTTTGTACACATCTGGTTTGGTGATGACAAACAAGATGTTCTTTGATTTGCGGATTGTGACTCTGGTGACTCCAGTTACCTGCCTGAGACCAAGCTTTGACATCGCCTACAAGAAACAGTGAACACAAAATGTTCATAATTGTGTCATAAAAGGTGTTTTTATTAAAAAAAAAAAAAGAAAAAAAAAAGAAAGATAAAATAAAAGATTTCTTTACTTTTCGTGCTTTCTTTTCACTGCGGCTCTGTTTGGCTTTGCTTACAGGTTCCTCATCGAGCTCAGCGGCTGCTGCAAGCTAATAAAAAAAAAAAAAAAGAGGCAACATTTATTTTAAAAAAGTGAACATTAAAGTGTGATTGGATACACTGATCATGGAATTCTCTTCTCAGAACAGTAAGGTTTGGCTTCAGTTTACTCAGAAGAACGAAAGTCACTGTTAAATCATCACAGAAGAGTCAAAGACATTCAACATTGACTAAAAACCTGTAGTGTAACCAACAGAGGTTGTGGCTGTTTTCTTACGTTAGCAAAATATTTAAGAACAGACTGTAGGTCTAATCACCTGGGCTTGCTGTGTCTGGGTCTGTGCAGAGTCCTGTTCCTCCAGCTCAGGGACTGAGTCGTCACTGTCTGATTCAGTGCCAGATCCTAGAGGAACCACAAACAGAACAAACTTAATATGGCACCATGTAGTGTTAGCAAAGTAAAAGAAGCTGCACCTGGGGAACAAAGAGCCTTGAAAATACAGAATTAAATGTAGTTATTCTGATGCTTAATGACCAAAAAAAAAAAAAAAAAGATTCAACACATTTTTATACAATGAAGAACATCAAAAACACTATATCAGTTTGCAAAAACAAAAGTGGGGTTTTGGCCTCACAGTGTTATTATAAAACATGGAATGTACCTTAAAGTTCCCAGAAAGTTAATCGTGGAAATAATAGCACAGAAAGAAGGAAAAATATACCCTCATCATTGTTGATCACAGACTCCACCTTGGCTGGGGTTTTAACAGGGGTGGGTTTGGCTGATGAGATAGATTCAGTATTGACTGCCTCGACTTCTGGTTTAACTGGGGCAGGTTTTGCAACTGCCTCTGCAAATGTGAGTTTACGGGGAGCTGGGGCAGGGGCTGTCTTTACTTCAGGTGGATTAGGTTTAGGTTCTGCAGCTGGTTTTGGAGCCTGGTTGGGAGTAGTGGGCTTTTCTTCAACTTTTTTCTGAACCTCATCAGATTTGGGTTTTTCCTGAACTGGAGCAGCTTTAGCCTCAGCAGCAGGCTTGGCAGCCTGGGCAGGGGCAGCTTTGGCCTCAGGGACAGCTTTGGCCTCGGGGGCAAGTTTGGCGGCCTGGGCAGGGGCAGCTTTGGGCTCAGGGGCAGGCTTGGCAGCCTGGACAGGGGCAACTTTGGCCTCAGGGGCAGGCTTGGCAGCCTGGGCAGGGGCAGCTTTGGCCTCAGCAGCAGGCTTGGCAGCCTGGGCAGGGGCAGCTTTGGCCTCAGAGACAGCTTTGGCCTCGGGGGCAAGCTTGGCGGTCTGGGCAGGGGCAGCTTTGGCAGCCTGGGCAGGGGCAGCTTTGGCCTCGGGGGCAGGCTTGGCAGCCTGGGCAGGGGGAGCTTTGGCCTCAGGGACAGCTTTGGCCTCGGGGGCAAGTTTGGCGGCCTGGGCAGGGGCAGCTTTGGGCTCAGGGGCAGGGGTTG